ATGTTATATTGTGATGTGTTATGCTACATATGTTATGTTATTGAATCTAATGCTATTCTATGTTATGTTATGCTAAGTAATAAGCTAAACTCCCCTCCACTTAACCCATTCCAACAAATTTTATTTCAGCTCAACTCAACTCACATAAACTATCCTTAATTTTAGCGGTTGAATTTAAACCGCTGGGCGAACACTAGTAATATAACGGTAATTTTCAGAAATACGAAAACTGCGATATTTTAGTAACTACTGAAGATTATTCACTCAAAATTTATATTTACAATAACTATCAGACGAAAAATAAGAATATTATAAATTATTCGAAAACGGGCGTAGCCACGCCCATTTATGGTTACATGTGTATATCTTGGTAGCCGCTGCACCAATTTCTTCCAGACTTGGCACAATTGGTGGCCTTGCTACAACATACCAAATGGCCGAAAATTTTTAAAATCGGACAATAACCACGCCCACATCCCATATGACGGTAATTTGGAGAAATACGAAATCTTCGATAAATCAGTAAATATTAAAGCCAATTTATTCAAAATTGATGCTTGCAACAATTCCTTANATGGCCGAAAATTTTTAAAATCGGACAATAACCACGCCCACATCCCATATGACGGTAATTTGGAGAAATACGAAATCTTCGATAAATCAGTAAATATTGAAGCTAATTTATTCAAAATTAATGCTCGCAACAATCCTTTACCACGAAACACGTTCATGATAAAATTTTGGAAAATGAGCGTGGCACCGCCCACTTATGATCACATATATGTATCTCGGTATCCGTTCTACCAATTTGTATCAAACTCTGTATGGTTATTGCGTTTGCCACATAAAAGCAAAATGTTGAAAATTATTGAAATCGTCCTAAAATTGAGGCCTCTTTTCATATAACGGTAAATTTCAGAAATGCTTGAAACTTCAATATTTCGAAATTCAAGGACGCTTACTTACTCAAAATTTATTTACCCCGGCTTACCATGTAGCGGTAGCTTTCGGAAAGGTAAAATCATATATTTAACACTTGCGCCAGGTATTTAATGTTCCGCTCCGCCCCAACTTAGACTTTCTTACTTGTTTATTTTCGTTTTTTTTTGTTATTATGAAAAAGTATCTGTGAAGTGCACAACGAAATAAATACTGGTATATCTTTTTTATTAAAAATAAATAAAAATTGTTTGCATTTTTTTCAATGTTCAATAATTTTTAGAAGAAAAGAATAATGCTAAAATAAAAAAGCAAAACCTGTTGCTTTATGTACCACTTTGAAATTTAAACAAACAATAATCACCATGGTTAAAATTCAAAAAATTAACAAGCTTCCCTATCACAATGAAACGACAAAATCAAAAACGGTTTTAGTGCACACAACAAGCCAAACGGCAAATTATGCAATAAAACAATTAATTGTTTTTATTATTTTTAACCAATTTTTAAACCGCTTTCCAAGTCCTTATTTTTTTTGATAAGGCTGTTTAAACAAATAAAAATTTAACGACGAAATCAAAAATAG